TGGAATGGGGCAGCGCATACACAATGCCCTACGCATGCATATGGTGGGAGCGGCAGGATTGGTTTAAAAAAAAATATTATTTGTGTTTAATTATTACTTTTTTATTTATTGTATTATTTTTTACTTTTATACATTAAAAAAATTCCACTTAACTTTATTGCCATCACACAGAGGCTCAAGCCCCTGTGTGATAGCATTTGGAGGCGGCATGTTCTCTTTATGGAGCATGCCCTCCAATGCAGCATATTAAACACAGCACTGTGCTCGATCTCATGTGCAGCTGAGACAGGAAGGCTATGAGTACAGCGCTCCTGTCTCACTGTTCACATAGATGGGATACTGGACATTCTCCAGTTAAAAGAAAAAAAAAAAGTCAAAACAGTGACTTGCATTATCCCAGTCTCTACACTTGGGGTGAAGCGGACATCACTACGATTTTGGGAAAGATGGGGATCCCAAATCTTATGAGAAGGTGCTCCGTCATACAGGAGCACATTCTCCTAAGGCTGTAATCACACGGGGTGATCTATTATGCCTGTGGCAAAAACCTACAGGATTCATGCATCAAAAAAGCCAGGTTTTTTTTTTTTACAGGTCAAAAAAAAAACACAAACACACAAGGTCTGCTTGTCTTGCAGCCCCCCCTACCCAACTGAATTATAAAAAGAAAATAGTACTTAATTTTGCTGCAGCTGCTTCAGTGAACGCTTAGGTTGCACAGTCCAACAAAACATTCACTGAACTGATCTCCTCCATTGGGGTTCAGGCACTTCTCCAGTGCTGCCAGGTGTGCCCACAGTTAAAATGGCCACTGCTTCTCTGCCCCCACTTACTCCGTCACACTCAGCGAACTGCATCCACATTCACTTCCACTGCAAGTGCTAAGTTAGTGTGACGTGCACCATGGCGTTCAGCAGCAGTTTGCTAACTCAGCACTTGCAGCAGCTGAGCAACTGAACGCACCTTAGTTTTCATATATTTCCCCCATCTCTCAGGGATGGGGAAACTCTGGCCCTCCAGCTGTGGAAAAACAACAAATCCCATCATGCTACTGTCTTTGGGAGTTGTGGTTGTAGCTGTTAGAATCATACAAAGCCTCATGGGATTTGTAGTTTCACAACAGCTGGAGTTTTATAAGAGTCCAATGCAATAAAAGTCTTACCTGCCTGTTTGCATTCCTCTTTAATATGTACATGCACAGCTTGGTGTCCAATTTGAGCATCTGCCGGGATTAATGAACTCATGCAAATGCGCAGGCATTACATAATCCTGACACAGCCAATCAAGATGGCCAATGACTACAAACCCATAAGAGGACAGGGTAAAGCTGTCAGCCCTGGCGAGGGATCTTGTAGACGTCACATCGCTAGAGCAGAGTATGGTTCCACTTTTATTTGGCCATTGGGCTGCCTAATAGGCAGTTTAACAGCCAGCTAAAGGAATGCACATGGCTGACAATGTTGCTGCTAATTGTGCTTAGCACTGTCAATATGCAATAGATTCAGAAAAACAATTTGCTCAGGAAAACTATACAGTCAGACAAGATGCTGGGGGATTTATCACAACTGGTGCAGACTGAATCTGGAGCAGCTCCGCATGGCAACCACTCATCTTCTCTCTTTAGTCTGTTTAGTAAAGATTTGAAAATGAAAGTTAGAAGCTGATTGGTTGCCATGTACAGCTGCACCAGATTTTGACAAATCCCCCTCACTGTATATGACCATTTCCATAAGTAGTATTCCACTTACTGCTGCCTAGAGCAGTCAGAATTGGCCTGGGCTGACTCCTGTAAAGGTTACTGACACACTGGGCTTCCAGCACTTGGTTGCCAAGCAAGGAAACCTGCACGTCTCTGCTATTTTCAGAAAGGGCAACACTGTATCATCAGTATTAGGCCCCCTTTCACACAGTCCAATCAGGAGGGGATTCATGCACGGATGGTCTACACGGAATCCGATGTAAAAGGACTCAGTCCTCTGGATGCCGTAAAGAGCCAGGACGGTACAAACAGCCCTAAAATGGCCCCTCTTTGGAAAGTAGACACCCAAAGGCAATTAGTAGGAGGCATGTTGAGTATTTCGAAGTTCTAATTTTTTTGCCACGTTTTTGGAAAATAGAAAAAGTATGAAATTAGATTTTTTGGAAGGGTTTTTTTTTTTCATAGGATACATACAGCCTTGTGGACAAGGGTACAGCTCAGTTCTATTTTAACCCTTCTGAAGCAGACCAATAGCTAGAGCACAGAGGACATCAGGATCAATGCAGATCCAACCTAAATGTATCTATTCCATGCTCGCACTATATGAGGCCTTGGTTCTCAACTGGTGGGTCGTGACCCAGAAGTGGGTCGCGACCCTGTGTTCAGTGGGTCCCCGTGTGTCTTCCACTTTTCCAGGTGAGAGGCTCCTCAGCCTCCCCCTAGCGCAGCACTGTCAGTTCTTGCGCCAAGCAGCCATTCAAAATATGCTGTCCGGCGCCGAGTGTCGGCTTGAGGTAGGGTGGGCTCCATCCATATATGCATTGCTTACAGCTCCCACGTATGTCCTGTAGAGGTGCCTGGACCGGTGTGATGTAACATACTGGCTCCCGGCACCTCTACAGGGTGTGCAAGGAAGCTGTACAAGCAATGCACATATGGATGGAGCTGCATCACAGTACAGCAGCCCACACCGGACCCCAGGCTAAGGATCCATCCAGTTCTCATAAGGTAGGGAGACTCGGCGGATCTTAAAAAAAGAACCATATTTTTTTCTCTTTGGAGTGTGTATGTGTGTGTGTGATATTGTGTCTGTGGTTGTGTGTTTTTGAGGGCCAATTCACACTAGTACAGTGCGTTAATCACACAGTCCCATGCGATTAACGCACTGTACTTTGCAATCGCACCTACCACGCATTTTGGTGTGAGAAGTGCATTGCATTGCCATTCATTTGAATGGCACCCCAAATGCACCTCCCACCCACAGTTCTATTGCCCGCATCGGAATGCGCAGTACCGCAATGCCGTGCATTCCATTGCAATGCAACTTGGGTCACGACTTAATGACCAAGGACAAATGTGGGTCCTGAGGTTACACGGGTTGAGAACCACTGATATAAGTAACCACTTGAAGGAGCAACACTGTATGATAGAATTTGCCCATCACCATTCACATATCTCTGATGGGCCTCATGCCCCCCACTACAACCCACATGATATCTAGAACCAACATGGCAATCTGAAGGTCCACACACACCTTGCGATCATCGCGGGAAATCCCGCGATCGTACGATTATCGTAAGGTGTGTGGAAGCCGTGCGACCTCTCCTACTGTAAGGTCGCACGACTCTTAACTTACGAACATGTTCGAAAACCCGCCGAGCATCGTACGATGTTCGGCGGGTGTGTAGCATGTCCGTAAGATAAAAGCCAGATGGGCTGCTGTGCGCAAGCGCACACTGCCCGTTCTGCATTGCGGTCATCGGAAGCCCGACCCTCAGGGGGGCACGGCTTGCGATCATTGCAAGTACGATCTACCTGTCCAAGATAGGCAGATTGTATGTTTTTTTAAGTACCTTACAACTTACTTGCGTCAACTGGCCCCCGCGGCACATTCCCAAACAGTTCAAATCCCAATTTTTTACGCCACTTAGCTCCCAGGCAATTTGTTCGCCAAGCCCTGTGATCGCCTCCAAGCAGCAGATCTACGGCCTTTACAGCATACTTCATAGCCAAGTATGTAATGAGCATAATGCTTCTAAATGGCGAGCGCTCATTGGTCAACACGGCAACATGACCACGCTGAAACGTTTCTGAGCTAGGGACCAGGAGAGGTGGTGGGGTGCTTTTAGCAAGTTCATTTTCTCACATTTCAAGACAAAGTGAACTTACCCAGGTCCTTTTTTGCACACGTTATAATCCACATTTTAGGCCTGAAAATTACTGAAAACCCCAAAACATTTTTTCTGAAAGTAAAGATCCTGTACAATAAAATGGCAGCAGATGCAAATTTTTATGTTGCACAATATTATCACAACTCTTTATCAAACCATACACTTAAAATCACATTAAAGTCACAAATATTTTTCTACAACCCCCATACTGCTCTAAGGACTTACCTTAAATGATGCCTCTTGATCCGATCATCTTCTTCCTTCCACTTGTATTCAGCAATCCCTCCAGCGCTGGTGCTGATCTCTGATCGAGCGCAGACTCCTGTCCCTTCCTGTCGTGCACGCTCACATCTGCGTGTTTACTTAGAGCGAGTTTCTCCTCTTCTCCCTGCCAAAGATCTGTACTGCGCATGCACCCGCCCCATCATGCTGCTCAGCCACTCGAGAATCTTCAGATCTTCGAACAGGAGTGAGCAGAGGAGACAGAGGTAAGTAATAACCTTTTTGGTAACTTTTTTTGGATATATCTACTGCTTGCTAGCAGTAGATATATGCAAAAAAAAAGAAGTTTAAAACCCCTTAGTGACCAGTGACGTCCATAGTACGTCACTGGCACCGGGTCCGTTTAAACAGACTCCCGGCAGCTAAATACACCGGGACTCTCTTTACAATTGTAAAGCTGTCACAAGATCGCTTCTCCGGGCCCCCCTCCCCCACTTTTTTTTTTTTAAAGTCCCTCACGAGCACGCGCATCATCACGTAAACACGCGTCAGGTGCGTCTACATATGAAAATGACGATCCCGCTACACATGTTGGGTATCACCGTGCACGTGAGAGCAAACATTCTAGGGCCAATATTGATGCCTATCTCTAAATTGATGATGTTTGGGGGCTTTTAAAGCATCACCTATGGACTTTTTGGGGTACTGAATTTTGTTTCATGGAGCTTATTGCTCTGCTTCTGGAGCTGAGGAATGACAGCTAAGGGACTGGAAGCGATGCAATCAGGATGTTCATTGGTCTCCTTCCCCGCTTCCCACTGACACCCAACATGCCAGTCCTGTGTCTGCAGGAAGGGTAGCAGAGCCCGGGAAGCAAGGCAGGGGTGTTGGCCCCTGGAAGCGAAAGCCGACAGTCTGTTTAAACAGCCCCACTGCCAGCGATGTAGGATACGTTGGTGGCAGCAAAAGGGTTCAAGCAGAACTAAAGTCAAACCATTTTGGATAGAGTAAGGAAGGGTTAAAGTAGTATTAAATGCTGGGTGTTTTTTGCCTTAATGCTTCTGTGCATTAAGGCAAAAAAAACAACACCCTCCCAATAGGCTCCTTCTGCCGGCAGTCAAGCTGTGACTGCAGGGTGGGGGCTCGGTGGACTCGGTCTCTCTATGGACGCACACAGCTAGGTGAGGGCACATCCGTGAACGTGCACCCACGGATGTCTGCACAGCAGTGGGCTAGCTGATGAAGGCACACGCACGGGGGGAGCCTAGTGGTCTGGATACCACTTGGGAACAAGGACATAAAAACACTAAACAATAAAAGGAACATATTTTTATAGGAAGTCTGGCCACCATTACTAAAAAGATGAAGGGAAAAAAAAATTAAGGTTTAATGTCGTTTTTAAATCCTTGTCAGCTATCTTTTTTGCATCCCATTGTGGAATTTCCTTTCACTTGCTGTCCAATAGCCATGACAGGATATTAGTGTAAATCCTGCCAACGAGGGAAATCCCTGGAGGGCAGGAGGGTCACCAGAACTACCATCATTGTTGGAAGATTGCTCCTCTATTCCTGTTCTGACAACCCAAAATGTGGGATTTTCTTTAGTTTTTAGTGATAAATCACTAACCAGGAGAATCTTCCAGGGACACACAGCAAAAAAAAAAAAAACCTGACTGGTGTTCAAATCTCCCTTCACTATCTAATTATATACACACACAAATCAGCGACAACATTATGACCACTGACAGGTGAGATGACTAACATTGATTATCTTAATACCATGGCACCTGGAAGCAGGTGAGATTTTAGGCAGCAAGTGAACATTTTGTCCCTGAAGTTGTGTTGGAAGCAAAAAAAAAAATGGCAAGCAAAAGGCCTTGACAAGGGCCAAATTGTGATGGCTAGATGACTGTTAGAGCAACTGCAGCTCTTGTGGGATGGAACATCCCACGATCTGGACCTACCAAAAGTGGTCCAAGGAAGAAAAACTGGTGGTCCAAGGAACGATCTGGACCTACCAAATGTGGTCCAAGGAAGAAAAACTGGTGAAGCTATCAAGGCTCTTTAGAGCACACAGGGAGCCAAGAATGGCTGTGTAGTGCAATAGAACTACTGTGGCCCAAATTGCTGAAAATGTTAATGCTGGTTCCAATGTCTGAACACAGTGCATTGCAGTTGTTGCATATACAACTGCGTAGCCACAGGGTGCCCATCACCAATAAGCACCTATAACAGACACGAGCAGCAGAACTAGACCACAAAGGAAGGTGGACTGGTGTCATTACTTTTTTTTTTTAACATAATTTGAATGGCCAGGTGTGTACATTGCTTACCTGGGGAAGAGATGGCACCAAGATGCACTATGGGAAGAAGGCAAGACCGCAGAGGCAGTGGTTCTCAACCTGAGAGATCGAATGACAATTTGCCAGGGGTTGCCTGCTATTAGATAGCGGCTCCCGGCCGCCCGGGAGAGAAACACTTCCTCCCGGAAAGGTTTAATCTGCTCGATCGAGCAGAGTAGGCTTTACCTGCGATCGTTTTTGTTTTTTTTTTTTTATTCGGACATCGGAGCCCCGGCCGCCGTTAGGCTGGGTTCACACATAGGCGTACGGAATATGCGCGTTTACCGCGATTTGCGGTAAAAACAAACACGCCTTTGCGAGGGCTATCCCGCTGTATCCTAATGGATAAGCGCAACAAATAAGCTTCTGTACTTTGGGCGTAGGGCGTTTTACAGCGCGTTTCTACGGGTGGGAACCATGCCCATAGGCAATTATTGGTTTTCACATGTTGTGTGTTTCACAGCGCGTAGGAACGCGCTGTAAAACGCCCAGGTGTGAACCAGGCCTAAGTCAGGAAAAAAAAAACCACACCATTGGAATGCATAGCTAGATTCCTATTTGCTATTTTACTTTGCAATAGCCAATAGCAAACTGCACCCAACCACTGTTGCCGTCAATCAGCAGAGGGGGACCTGCAGTTCTCCATCAGGTCCCCATCTAGTGATTGACAATAGCAGAGGGCAGGTGCAATAGCTAGTTTGCTATTGGCTTTTGCAAAGTGAAATAGCCAATAGGAATCTAGCAATGCATGCCAATGTTTTTTTTTCTATTCCGAAGGCTGCAACTGTTTAATAATCAATATGTGCTCTACAGCAGAGCTTACAATCGACATATAAAAGTGGGTTGTAATAAAAAAGGTTTGTTTTCCTTTGAAAAAATAAATTATTTTATCTACCTATAAAATCCGCATATAAAAAAATGGGTTGTATATAATTTAAAAAAGTTGTTTTATTTTGAAATAAAATTACAATTTTTCTCTTCAAAAGAAACCTCAAACCTTTATTAATAATTACATTTTGATATGTAGATAATAGTATTTATTTTGTTTCCAAAAGAAAACAAACCTTTTAATAAAAGCCGACACCCTCGGCTTGTGTTACATGGTTTGCCATTTTACATGTTACAGCAGTGGTTCTCAACCTGTGGGTCGCTGTGATTTCTGCTGTGCTAGGCGAGTCCTCCTCAGCCCTCTCCTAGCGCAAGTGTCAGTTCTCCCGCCAGATGTCGCTGCAGCAGCCGCATCATCCCTAAGTTTTACCGTTGGGTGGTCACCACAACGTGGCAAATGTTACCAAAGGGTCCCAGCCCTAGAATGGTTTAGAACCACTGCTTAGGCATTGTTCTGCTGGGAATCCATGGGTCCTGCCCTTCATGTGGATGGCTTAGGTACCATCTACCTAAAAAACCATTGCTGACCAAATACACCCCTTCATGAAAAGTGTTCCTTGACGTTAATGGCCTCTTTCAGCAGGATAATGCACCCTGCAAAAATGGTTGAATGAAGTGAGGAACACAAGTTTGAGGTGTTTTTACCCCCAAGTCTCAATACTATTGATCATCTGTGGGACGCGCTGGGAAAAAAGTCCAATCCACAGAGGCCCCACCTCACAAATTACATGACTTAAAAGAATCTGACCGCTTGGTGCCACATGCAACACCTTGGGACTTTAATGGAGCCCATGCCCCAACAGGTCAGGACTGTTCTTGCAGCAAAATGAGGACCTACTCAATATTAGGCAGGTGATCACGTTATGGCTGATCTCTACCTGGCTTCAGTTGTACAGCCAGGTAAAGGGTGTCTAAGGAAAAGCTTAGATTTTTAATAACTCATTAGCCAATAAAGAGCATCACTCCACACTTTCTGCACTAATTGATGGCAGAGTACAATACTTGGCTACAATAAAGCTGCTTATCCGGCCAGAAAGTCAACAAAAATCTACAAAAGGTAACTTTCTCAGCCATCTTCTGTCAACTCCAAATCCAGAAACAGTTGGCGTGACCTGCTGAGGGTGCTAGATTGAGTTGTGTCAGCTTAGTACAGGAATTGTTCCCGACCATGTGAAATAAGAAAAACCAAGACAATGCAGCCATGGATAGCTTAGTTGCAAATCACCAAAATGTTGAGAACTATGAGGTTAGGGCTTGTCCCCATAGTTCTAAGGGTAACAGGACAAACTAGCATCCTCCCAAGCTCAGAATACCGCAAGCTACAGCTCGCAGTATACCGAGACGTCGCAGCTGAACCGGATCCCGACAATTATGTCTGGATCTGCCTAGCTGTGCGAGTAACAGCTGGCTCTGCCCATCTAGAGGCAGAGCCAGCTGTAACTGCCCCCATCTGTTCCACAAGTCAACTCTGGAGGATTGGGGAATCTAGTCCCTCCCGACACAGCTCTCTGCCGTGACAGGATCGAGAAGTGAGCGAACGCCGGTATGAGTTTGCTCACTTCCCGATCTACTGAGCCGACCTGCGAGTCAGTCACAGGTCAGCTAGAACTATGAGGATGAGTGAAAAGCATTCCTATTTCTTTTTTAGGCTGGGTTCACACCTAGGCGTATTGAATATGCGTGCTTGTTACTTGGCTGTATCCCAATGGAAACACATGACAAAACGGCCATACGGCCTGTAATACACCCAGGTGTGAACCATACTCATAGGAAACGGGATTTCGGTGTTTGAACGCGCTACAAAACGCCTGTGTGAACCAGGCCCTAAACTTGGGGTTAGAGAAGTGTGGATGTGGCGACATTTCGTTTAACACTGAAATTCTAAATACACTACCTTGAGTGAGCATTAGGTGTTATGCAATGACTAAACTGAGATTAGTGATCCCTCACTGAAGGAGATAAGTGAGCCACTGCAACAGGTGTTGACAATTTTTGTTATCACTGGCTCTAAAAAAACAATTGCTCCAATGTTTTTACAGTGACTGCTTCACAACACTATGAAATGCTCCATCGTGGGACCAAAAGTCCAGGTAAGATTCCCAAGCTCCAAGGCCTAGTGTTGGACCCAGTTTGTCAGAGCTGCCAGTCCCAGCACATAACCCACATGTGCTTGAAATACTGGGACTCAAGTGGTGCAATAATGAAGATCTTGTTTGACTGTTCCAGGCCCCAACTCTGGAATAATCTGATTTCGAACCAGTACCATCGTCTCAATGACTATCGGACTGTTAAATTGGAGAACTTAATTTCCAGACATTCAATTAAAAAGTATGAACCAATTGTTCTGCCATTGCCAAAATATGCAAGCAACATGTGTGACTGCTGCAGGCAAGAAAAGAAAATCTAATGTAGTGCATACTTACAATGCAGAAAAGCTGGCCAAGAATCAGGGGCAGTGTTTGGCATTGAAAAGAAAATTAGAAACCTTCAGGATGTTATTATCACGCACTTAGTTTAGCCCATAGTCTCAACAGTAAATGTATGCTGTGCCAGCTAAACACAGCCATTTTTCCTGAGTCCACACTGTTACTGGTCCTTGCTAGCAGATATTTTTTTCCCTTCCTGATACTGGGTGGCAATGCCATTTGTTCTGTTGTGAAATCACTTAATCATGCAGCTAGAAGAAAAAACCCAGCAACTTCCAGTGTACTAGTTTGTCCCAAGCAAAGTAACCCAACTTTAGCTGCATGTAAATGTGGACAAAACATGTTAAAGGGAATTTATATGTAATACCATTACAGGCCTCAACCACAGGGGACCTTTGTGTTAGGGGAGGTTTGAGTTACACCCATACCAGTCTTCTCCTTGACACAATAATCCAATACATCAAGAATGATACAAACCCAATTGCAATTTGGTTTACCAAAAACATTTATTACATCTGCTGCATGAGACCAGACGCTATAAAGTCCAAACTCCCAGAGGAATTAGCATGTTAGTCCTTGACACTGGGTTAGGATGAAACAATGGAAACTTCCAGAAGTACACGCAGAAGGTAGATCGCCAGTATTCCCAGGCAGGTCATCAGTCAGATCTTATGGCAGGTTGTTCTAGACCGCATGGATCCACATGGGAGTGCTGTCTTCAGCTGGCAGGTCTCAAATGCAGCAAAGGAGGAGGCGTTTACTTGGACCTCTGCCTCATCTTTCGCCTTTTACGCTTCAGTCTAAAAGGAAACACAACTTTAAGAAACTGATTCACCATATCATACAATTACAGTAAACTCAGGTGCACATTGTGTAAGCAGCTACATTACTCAGACTTCTTTAGGGTACGTAAATGCATATGCTGTAACACATCACATTATGTTGAGGGCTACTGTGTTGGGTAGCCAATTCAAAGTGAATTGTCTGCAACACCAATACAATTTATGTATTGTAGTGCACCAAGTTATAATGCAGATGTGTTCTGGATGCGAATTGAGGTGCCTTCAGCTGATTAACTGTTATGAGGACATTGTTCCCACAAGCCAAAGAGCCAATTCACGCACGTTTCCTGCAAAGCTAATGATGACTCAGGGGCTAGTGACAGTAAGTACTGTAGCAGTAAGTACTGTAGCAGTGTGGGGTGCGGAAGGAGCCACAGTGCAGCACAAGAGACATTTAACATGCCAAGAGTGTGGAAGACAGAAGTTTAAACTGTCCAGAATGGCAAGAATTTAATCTGGGGCAGTTCTAGATTTTTGGGGAAGAGACTGTCCCAATAACAGGTCTCAATGTGCAAGTCACATGTATGACAGACTGCTACTGAGAAAACCAGAACACTGCCCAGCAAGATGGCAGTGCCTGCCTTTGGGGTCCGTCTACTCTTAGGGCAAAGGTGACAAATTAACATTATGAAAGCACAAAGACTTTAAATATTATCACAGCAGCTTCATTTTTGGGGCTAGAATACCTTCAAATACAACAATGCTCATTCAGAGGCCCACTAGTCAATCTAGATTCAGCAGGATCATGAAGCCTCCACGCTTTGCCCATACTGCTAGGATCTACTGATAGGTCCATAGTAATGCATAATTTACAATTTAAAGCTTACACACTATTGATTCTCTTGCTTCCCAACTACTAAAATGGCCAGTAGTAGAAAGCCCCTAAGGTGAATCTGCTGCTGTATGGGCAAGGAACAGGTTCACTTACACAGCAAGCGTTTATTAGTTTCACCCAACCAAGCTCCCTAAAAAAAACAAAACCCAAACACCTCAGCTCTGCTTTTTAAAGCCGGCAATAGGCAGTATAGCCAGCTGCTAGGTTGTCCTTGCATTTCCATGAGTAACAAACCTTAAACCAGAATCGTTAATACACTGACAAGGCAATGCCCCTCACATGTTTCCAATGCTATTAAACATGATTTAATTTATTTCCCCCAGCTTTGGTGCAGTCACGTGTGCTGCATAAAAGGCAGCACAAGTGCACGGTCATGCCGTCATTTTCAGAAGAGAAAACGTGGATTAGGGACACCAGTCCAATAGACCATTGTACCAGGAAATCCAATGAACATGTGACAAAACTAGTTTATCTGAACATTCGATAAGGCAGAAGGCACTAACTAGAACATGTGACTCACAACATACCAACAGCCATTAACATTAGGACCTAGAACATTTGTATGGTGTAGACCTTCCATAGCACATGAGCCTGCTTTAGGGGAAGGAACAAAGCAGAATGACCAGCACCTGCAGTTCTCTCCATAGGCACAACCATGCAAGGCCACCTGATCCAGCAGCATCTACACACCAAATGTTAGGAAAAGCATCTTCAGGTAAATTAGGCCCAATTGGTCACTATAGATTACTGTGTTTTACATGCTTAGTTCACAAAATAGAAACTGAACTAGCTCACAGCACTCCTAGTCCCCTCAAATTACTCCAGCCAGGGTAATTGTGCAGGAACCTGAAAGTTCTGGCCTCGGAGGCTGTAAAACAATGGATGCAGTCATTGGTTTACACCACCACATGACTGCGCTGACCACTGAGAATCTCTTCTGACCCTTCTCCCAGAATAGCATCCAAGAAGAGATTTGCAGCGGTGAGCAGTCACATGACTATGCTGACCAATCACCACTCCCAAATGCAGCCATTAGGTTACTATACAGCCTCTACGGCAGTATAGATAGGTTTAAAGAGTCCCATACAGTTGTACTAGGTGAGGGTCATAACAGTACAGGTACCCTGGGAAAGGAACAGGGTGAGCAGGAGGTCACAAGACAGAAAGGTGAAGTGAACTAATCCATTTATCAATCCAGAAGGCCAGTCACATGACCAGACATTTTAGTAAGAAAATGGAAGATACATACCTGCGCATACGCTTCTTCCTCCACTAGAAGAGAGAATTAGACAGCCATTAATTATATCAACACAAATGGAAAGAAATCAAACAGTTCTATTTGATTATCCACAGATCATGTGTTTAACAGCATACACTGCAATTAATGACACCCCCCC